ACAATTGTACACAATGTATTACCATGTTCAGCAACGTTCCTGGGACATCTTTGGGCTTGATCTTCTTACTCGTAGTTGTGGATGAGTCCTGAAAAAAGTAAACGGAAATAATCAAAATGTACTGAACAACATCAAAAACAACTACAACAACAACAAAGAGGTATAGAATGAAGTTAAAAACACACGTCGATCGGCTAAAATTGAAGTCAACACTGCCTGCTCTCAGTCATTTGTAACGTTAATGAAACATTTCCTTTAGCTGTGATAAAGAAATTTTTCGCTGGTTACCTGCAGAACTGATTTTAGGATTACGGGAAATTTAATAAACTCGCAGTTTATTTTAAACTCATTATTACAACGTTTTTCAATTAACTGTCGCGAGACGAAAACCATAGTAATCACCACAGCCAACCAGAATAAAGGAAACTATTACAAGCAGCCAGTTGGACCTCGAACTACCGGTAAACGCGGGAAAAAGCGAGCAATCAAGTCCCGCTTGATTTGAGTTTTGTTTCTGATTGGTTGAAAATTTGGCGCGAATTTTATAAACTAATAATAGAGAGTACTACATACGGGTTGTGAGAGCTGCCATCTGGTCTTAACGTGCGTAACAGCTTGAACAATCTGTTCACTGTCATTACTCATCAGAAGAATTCCTGGACCAACATTTGCCAGTTTTAACAGACAGAGGTTCTCATCCTCCACAGTGGCCTGATAAAGAAAGAGAAATGAAGGTTGGATTATAAAAAGCTATCACTTCTGTCAGTCAGCGAGAAAAGTCAGGAAAGAGTTCTTTCTTGGCCCGACATTGTCCTTGATCCCACTTACCCCCTTAACTTCGGAGGCATAATACACATCATTAAGGATGCTTGAATAACCCAACACTCTATGTCTCTCTGGGGTGGTGATCTGCACTGATGTGGGGCCAACCTAAACAAGCGATAAAACAAATTTGCTAAGTGACCTATACATGGTTATGGATTCTTAGTTTGCCAACTATTGTAATACAGAGATTTACTACCTTGACTAAAACATTGCTCCTGCTCGACACCCTGAAAGCGTGAAAAACCTGTAAAACAAACAAAAAAAAAAAAACTTTTGTGAATGTAAAATACAATGCGGGGTATGTCAAAAGCGTTTGTACTAACAAACACAACCGCCAATCAGAATAACGGAGAATATCACAAGGAACCATTAAGAAGTTTAATAGAAAAAAAAACCGTCCTGTCCGAGGCGCGGGAAAACGCGGCTTACCAAGTCGTACATGGTATCTGATTGGACGAAAACATGGCGCGAGTTTCCTCGCCCAAATCAAAGAGCGAAGCAGAGTAAGACCAAAGCAATCCCGTATTGCTTTGACAATCAGTAGAAGATAGCTGCAAACGGTGTACAATAATTGCTTACCTTTAAGTCTTCCTCGAGGGACACAGTGGAACTTGGTAACTTGAGTTCACTCGAACTAATGTACTCGTGTAGTTTACTTAGAGACTCACAAACCCGAACTACAGAACGACCCTGTAAGGAAATAGATACACTTACCAACATATGCACAAGAAAGATAAAAAATGGTTTTTAATGGATGAAGCTGTAGCTTAATAGCTAAATAGATGCCTGGTGACACACTACAGGCTCAGGTACAACCACCAACTCATCATAGTGCACAGCACATCATATGAGGTCACAGAACTATCATTTTGTGCAAAAAATCTTACGAGAAAACAATCATCTACTTTAAACATAGCAAGAGTACTGGACAGTTCTCCGGATGTAGTGCATCAACGAGTTGAATGTGTTCTTGAAACAAGAATATTAATAGCACACACGTGCACAAGCATCTTTTCAGCCTGCAGTACAGGTGTCTTACTTGGGCGAGTGAACGTTAAGAAGCGCGCGATCGTTTATTCAACCGTCCATGTTTAATTTAGAGTTAGTGTCGAACGTAGGGGAAGGGGGTGGGAAGGGGCGAAAATAGTAATAGTCACTCCCCCACCCTCACCCCCTCCTTATTTTTTTCACTGTCGCTCACCCCCTTGGTGCAAATTTCTCTCTCTCCCCAGCCTTCCGCTTCCATCAAAATCAAAGATGACGGCCATGATTTTCGCTAAGAAAATACTCGGCACTCGCTCGCCACAATTACGCCTGCTCTGCAAGCTAGAATCTTCTGTAATTTCTAACTGGTCATTCAAAATTTCTGTGTTTCCTTCCTAAACTACCTGTCCTTCTCTCAGTCTATGTTCTCTTCCTCACAACCCTTTGTCTGCCATTTAACCCTTTACACCCTAACATCAGTAGGGATATTCTCCACACCGTTCTCTATACATTTCCTAAGGAGCTGATAAGGAGAATTTGTTTGACGATCATTAACTTCTTGAGTTGGTGATACTTTATTCTTGTGACCTTAATGTGTGATTCTGGTGTCATATTGTAAAGAGAAATTAGATGGTAGTGACTCTTCTGGGTCGTATGTAAAAGCAAGAAATAATTACCTTCAAAGGAGACAAGTGACGTTCGTTGTACTTGGCATATTGCCTCAGTGAACTGCTGCAGTTATACAAGTACGTTGCTCGGAGATTCTTCACCGCTCCATCGGGTACGACTGTTAAAAGTTTTAACACAGTGGACGGCTGAAACAGATCATTCAACGGTAAGAAATAGACCGAAAGCAGACGAACTACAACAAGGAATATGAGATTTTCCTTTCGTATTTGACATTCAAAATTACTTGAAAGAAGGTTTCAATCTACACAGTGTTCTAGTTAGCGAAAGAATGCAGCGAGAGATGACTCCTGGCTGTTACTTTAGTAACAAAAAAAAACACTTAAACCAGTTTCCACACACCCTATCATATCATCTACTTTCACAACCTCTGGTCGTTGAAAAAAAAGCTTTAACAAAAATCTATCAAAGAAATAAGAAAATTAACCGTTATCTTATAACGGTTTGGCAGCAAAAGGAGATCAATCTTTCCACTTACACTAAACCTGTTTTCTAAAGTTGTATGGGTGAAGTCTACAACTAGCTCCCAGGGTCTTTCGATGCAGCTTTCCAGTGTTATTAGGGCGTGGTAAATGAGAAGTTCGTCAGTAATTTGGTCTCCTCTGAAATTCAAAACAAAAACATATCACTTATCATTAAGTTTGGTCTTCTTCAGCTATTCATGGCGAGAAATCGAGGACATCATGGCGTCCAAGCATGTGTTCTGCGTTCCTTTACCGGGATTTAAAAATGAAGCTCTTAAAAGGCTTGTTTGCACAATACCTGAATCGTCTGGCGATATAGTAGAACACAGGATGTCCACTTTTTGACTTGCCACCCTTGAATGAAAAGAAATCACATAAGCCTTAACCATGTGTTCTACTAAAACCAAACTATTGGAAACCTTTTAATACCAGCGGCACAATCTATAACATATCATTGGTAATTCATTTGTAGTTTGCAAGTTTATTTAACCACGAGTTTTTTCCTTCAACGTTGTTGTACAAGTCGATCACAGGTTGAGCACAATCTAGCCACAATCAGTTTTGAAACTTTTTCGGTGGTCAATTCATCAACTCATTTGATAAAACCAACATTACTTTGTTAATACCACCGACGCAGAACCACAGTTTCTTAACTTACCCCCTTTATTCGTTTGGCTGAAACAAGGTTCGAATTTAAGAACAAAACTTACTTAAAAATTTGAACACAACTTTTCAGGCTTAGAACGCAGTTCCAAACAAGTTTTAAAGCAAGATGAACGACTTTGCACTAATCGTCATGGTAGTGAAAATTTTCTGCCTAACATGGTACAGTTTAGAACTGAAATCACAACACGCGCTTAGAATTTCCACAAACTTTGTAAGCATGGATCGTCATCGCAAAAACATTTATTGTACAAAAAGTCTAGACGTACTTGATAAAACACGTTTAAACTTTTCATGGCTTGTAAATCGTCCCGGCTCTCTTCGGCGTGACGCGCCATAAACTCTTCAAAACGAGTTCCATCCTGCCACCGCCTGAAAAAAAACAAAACAAAGAAAAGATGAACATTGACATAAACAATGCATAAAATGTATGCTGGGCATAAACAATGCATAAAATGTAAACAGCGTCTTCTCCACTGACGTCACAGCGCTTTTCAATTGGGAGTCTAAAACTTGCAATTCAGGGCTCAGTTCTATAGACGGCGGAAAAAGCTATCGAACGGATAAATCGTTATTGAGCGGATAAGTTATTGCAAAACGTTTAAACTTACAGATGCGAAAAATGATTTTTCTGCTGATCAGGTGGTCCAAGGTGAGCCAGCAGAGTGGACATTTTCTCAAAAGGTCTTCTACCAAAGGTCTTGAATTCACTGAAAGAGACAAACAAGATCTTAGTAATTCTCCTAACAGGCTACCAAACATTTTTTATGATGTTAGTTTGGAGAATTTTGTATTGGATCAATTAACAATTTCCAAATATTTTAAATTTCTGTCTTATTTAATACTGTGTTCCTAATTCAATTTCGAGTTTTTACAGTGAGCAACCAAACTAAATGACTTAAGAGTATCGCAAGATTTGTAGATAGAATATAAGTTCATTTTTTAATCAACGTTGTCCACGGCGTCGCCGTCGTCGTCGTTTCTTAAACTCCCCATTGAAGGTGAAAAATGTTCTTTTGTTGGTAACTTCTACGAACTGATGAAGTAAAAATACAATTTCCAATAGGGTGTCTTTTCTAAGCATTCAACATTCAACACCTGGGAAATAACCGCTAACCTCTTCGTGGCAAGATAAGTTCCAATCTTTTCCTGATGATCCCACAAGAGTTTGTGTAGACTCAACACACTACTATCGCTAATAAAAGAATAACTTGTGCTGTCCTCCTCTCTCTTTGAAGGACACTTTGACGAAATGGCGTTAAAAAATCTGAAAATAAAAACAGTACCATATCAGGACAACTAATCTCACTGAGAATGGAGACTGCTTTAACAGTTGGTTGTATTTTTTTTTTTTTTTCTTGTGCAGCTTTGCCAAGTCCATAATTTTGAAGTTTAGGTTGAGGTTTCACGTTAATCTTTGCTAAACTCCAGGAGGCACCAAAAGCTTCGGATTATATATGTTACAAAATGTTCCCAAGGCCTTCTCGGGTACACTTTTTCACTGTTAAAAGGACGTGGCAAATGACAAGTTCGTTACTGATTTACTCACCCTTGAAATCTTTCACAAAAATATAGTACTTATCATTAAGTCTAATCTATGTGAGATGCAATGAACAATGAAATATATGAAGTTCATATATTTTGTACTGCGGTATTAGATACATATGATGCACGATCCTCGCAGTAGAGAGCGCTATTTAAGCAATAGCAAAAATCAGACCTGAAAAAAATCAGGCTTTAAATAGCGCTATCTACTGCGAGGATCGCACATCATACGTATCTAATCTATGTCAAAGCCAAGACAATTAAAATAACGTAGACCGGGGAAAAATTCCTCAAACGTTTAGAATTTCAGTATCATGCATCAACATCAACATCGACATCGACATCAAGTTCTTCGTAACCCTTTCCATATCAAGAAGTAGACATAATCAAGTAAGCGCATCTTATGGTTTTCAATACCTCAGCAACGTCTGGAGTTTACTTACAAAGTTTTTTCTCATAAATTTCCCCCAAAACAATCGAGAGGAAATTATTAAGGTCACAAGTTCTGTTCTCAGTACTTGGAAACCGAAAAAGGGTCACTATTAAGCAATGATAACTGAAAACGGATCTCTTTGGCCCACTTACTTTCTCGCCTTATCGAAGTTTGCTTGAAGGAAACCGTTAAAAGGTTCCATGTGTTTCTCCTTTGTAAAGAGGACATGATTGGCTAAATTTTGGAGTATCTAAAAAAGACCACATGTGGGAAGCAGTTAAAAAAGAGGATCATATTATAATCAGATAAGTCTGAGGAGCCACCTGGACAAAGTCTGACATAGAGACAAGCGGATGGACCAGCTGATTTACGGACAAACGAAACGACAGACTCCTAAACGGACTGATTGACCGGTGGACGAACTGACTGACCAACTGATTGACAAGCAAGATGGACCCACTGATAGCCTTACTAGAAGCGTAAATTATAGAATAAAGGAGATAAGTTTCTAAAGAAACTGTGGTCCTGCGTCGGTGGGGGTAACAAGGTAATTTGGTTGTATCAACTAAGTTGAAATTGTAAATTGGCCACCGTAAAGAGTTAAAAGCTGACATTTTGAGCGTTAGCCCTTCATCAGAGTAAATGGCTCTGACGAACGAAGGGCTAACGCTCGAAACGACAGCTTTTAACTCTACAAGGTGGCCAGTTGATAGATAGAATGACTGACTAGCTGACGGAGTAAGTGATTGACTGACTAAGGGACTGACGGACTGACTAAATGATTAATTGATTGATTGGCAATATATACGGACGGACGGACTCAGATGGATTTAACATGAAGGTCTGACCAATAGACTCACTGGCTGACCTACGGACTAACTGACTGATTGACTAACAGGATGGACTAAGGGCTGATAGTTTCTAAAGAAATTGTTTGGGGCTCCGTCGGTGGGGGTAACGAAATAATTTGAAAATATCAACAAAGTTGAAATGGGAAATTGGCCACCGTTGCGATTATAAAAGCTGACGTTTCGAGCGTTAGCCCTTCGTCGGAGCAAACAGGATGGACTGATTGGTGGACTGATTGACAGATTGATTGACAAGATTGACTGACTGTTGGACTGAGTGTGACTGACTGATTGATTGAGAACATGGATTAATTAACCAACTGACTGAGTGACTGACTGAGTGACTACAAACAGACAGATGGACTGACTGACCAACCAACTGTGTTTCTCGAGAGCAAACCCTTTACCTTTGACAGTAACATGAGTCCTCTTCTCATCTCTTCTGGAGGAATCTGGTCAACAATTCCTGTGGCGTGGGGTGAAGCTAAACGATAAAATTACGTGGAAGCTCATTCTTAGCCTCGTGAGGATTTTTTTTTTTCAAATAACAGAAGTGGAAGGGGACAGACCTTAACCATTAAGTCATACATTGTGATCATATACCCTTTTACGGAGATAAAATAAAACAGAAACGAAGCTAGAGCTCTAAAAATTTTAATCCATGCACTATGTAGGCTTCAATAACAACGCACACGTACTTATCGCTGGGTTTATGAATCTCAGAAAAAAAGCACTCCCCACTGCTTCTAAACTGTGCTTTGGGAATCTCTGGTGAACAATCTTTAACCAAAATAAATGTTTTCGCAGTGAATGGTCAGTTGATTCAAAGAAGTATAAAAAAAATTACTCAGGTCAGAAAACACCACCATGGTGAGCTTGAGTGTTTCAAACTACGTATACAGTTTCTCAACAACTATGAGTCTTGTATTAGATTAATATTCATTTCATAGGGTGTTGAAAGTAGACTTCGTTTAACAATCATGAGCTTCTTTAGTTGGGGATCATTTCCGTTATTCTCATGATCTTAACGTGTGATTCAGAAGTAATATTGTCAGGAGAAATTGAATGCTAATCAATCAAAGGGGTCAAGAGGTTAAATGGCTGTGTCCATCCTTTCAAAACAGTTCAAAGGAAAGAAAACTCTTAGACCCTTTTTAAGACGTAATATTTCAGTGTTCCACACTTACCTCCTTTAGACAGTTACACAGACGTCGTAGCTGGATAGGAAAACTAAAACACAGACGGACAAAAACGGACTCAGCACCATGGCCGTATCTCAAACTTTGTATATAAAGGGTCTCAAATAAATTCATTCAAACATCAAGTCGACCAAGCTATTTACGATTATGATCGAATTTCAGATGAAATCACTACACCAACAGATTGCCTGAACTGTGCTGAACACTAATCCCGATTTACCTTTCAGCTGAAATTACAATCTCGTTGATGAACTTTTGAGCAGCCTTGATCAGGTTGTTTCTGTTCTCTTCGACATTTTGACCTTTTTCAAGCCTTAAATGAGAAGAAAAACAGAAATACGCTCAATTAAAGATATGTAATAAGAAAGACCAGCCTTTATTGATTCTCACTCGCTTGATTCGCCTACTTTAAAAGAGGAGTATACTCCAGAAAAACCACATCAGTGTCTTTACACTTTTAAAAGGCGGACATAGAAATTACATGATTTCTTAAGCTTACTTTTTTACTTTTCCTTAAACGGAAGAGAAGTTGGTAAATCCCAGGTTATCCTCCCCCCTCCTCCCTCCCCCCTACCCCCCGTAAATCGTCAGGTTTCCCTGACAATTTATTAGAACTCATTCATGGTTATTATAAATCACATTCCTTCGGCTCATGATTTATGACCTTTCCTCGCGTTCTCCCAACACCCACGTGGCTTTGTCACGTTATAGAGCCCGGAAAAATGTGTTCTATTGCTTAAATAATCCTATTGTAAGCCAACCTTGTAGGATCCACTTCAAACGAGACATGTTCTTTGTACATAGGGGCTATCAGCGGAGTGAGCAGTGTGTGGAGGTAACTACCACCAAACACTTTGAAACAGTACGCCATGGTTTTGCTCGAAAGACTGTTTCCTCTGAAGAGTGTCTGCATTCCCTCCGTGCTGTAAACCTGTTCGGAAGATGGTTTAGGTCGTTTATTTTAACCTACACCGTCTCCCAACTTTTACAAAATGTGATAGTTTGATCTTCAGATATTATTTTAAATGGTCTTCTCTCACTGCTCAGTTGAGGTCGAACAATTTTTAACACGAGGTGTTCGAGAAAAATGAGACTACTCTGACTAGTTTTCTTGAAACTTCAGTTGCTGAAGTTTGCTTCCATCTACTAAAACTTAGGTGACTAATGAAATTCATTCTCAAGTGTTCGAAAAAAGTAAATAAACAAACAAAATACAAGGCACGCACCTCCATGGCAAATAAGTTGTTCAGAAGCTGAGGCAGATTCTTTCTGTCATCAAAAAGGGTGACCAGAACGTGAGCCAGTTCATCCTAAAATGAAAACAAGACGGGAATCTTTACAACAAATTTAATTTTGTTGCCATCCACAGCTACTACTTCAAAGTTTCGCAATAAGCTTACAGCTGCTTCGAGAAAGGTTGTCTGAAAAAAGGGAAAAAAGTGCACGCGACAATCTCGTAAGATAATCTTGGTATCGGGTAATCAATGAATTTTAATAAGTCAAATCAGACAACAAATTAGTTGATACTAACAAAGCCGCGATGCCATCAAAGCCGCGATTCCTCGTCCTTACAGTGAGGTTTCCGCAGATTTCCCTGAAATCCTGACGTCACGAAACTGTGACCTGAAACTACCCACAATACCTTTCGGGGTTGTCGCAAGCACGTTTACACTTTATCCGACAACCTTTCTCAAAACAGCTTTATATTTGTCCTCACACCTAGTAACCTATGGAATACAGTTTTGTTTCTTCCAATAAAAATGCACTGTGATCGTGTCTTCTGCGTGAGTATAAAGGTAAAGAGAGACCGGCACGGAATCCCCATGTGGCTTTCGTGGTTGCGTCGCATTCTCGCCTCCAAATTGTGTTTTTGCTCTCACACACGTGTCGTCAGGGATTTTCCCTTTTATGAGGGATAATCGGATGTTAAATAAAAAATGTTTTGTTAAGCGGAAATCTACCTGCTTAATAACACATTGGTACTGTAAAGGAGAAGTTCTATGTTGCTCACTACGAGAAATCAATGGATTAACCGAACTAAATACTTTATACCATTGCATGACTGAACTTGCCTAAAAAACATTGTGGATTGACTGATAGATTCTAGAACGTTTTCGAAAAGGAAAAACACTTTACCATCTGCTGTGCTGGTACCACATTGGCCAAGGCCATCACAATAGGCAGCTTGCCTTTCTCTCCTGTCAGCGTCAACAAGTCCACCAGTCTATCAAATCTGTCCATTAACACCGTGTCCGCCAAATTGTCAAATTCAGTGCCCTGAGGAAAAGTTATTCAATGAGTCAATCAAAAGTAAAACTTACTTCTTAGAAAAATAGGAGGGTAGACAAAACCTGAATCAGAAACATTATTTAGACTGAACCTGTTGCAGAATCTTGGTGAGAACCTCCATAAAAACAGCTCTTGTCTGTAAATCATCATGGTATCCTAGGCCTGAAAATGCAGTAATAGTTAAAATCACAATGCCCCTTCCATCTACCTGCCCATGCACATGTGTTACTGATGTTGGGGTAGTTTCTGGCTTCCCCTCTTCCCCCCTCCCCATCGCTTTGTCGCTCGTCCCAGATCTTTCAGCCGTTCAACATGGCGACCGAACATATTCGCCGCGCTGAATCTCGCGCATACCAGTACCGTCTACAAGCAAGCTAGGGCATAAAGAGTTAATTTGACTTACCTATCGCATACATGAGTCCAGTATCAATGTTAGCATTCAGTAAATTGGACATGGCCAAGACAGCATTTTGATGCAATGTTTGGGATGCATTATGGTGCATTTCACCTTCTTCTTCTTGCTCATCTGTTGTTTTTATACCCTTCTCTCCGTTCATTAAGTTCATGAATAGAGTGAAGTACCTGAATAGTCAAGAAATAAGACACTGTCTACGTCATTTCTTAGAAATAAAAGCTGAAAAAGGACTTTCTGTAAGGTTTTTGCAATACCTTGTTCTCAACGATAAGAAGTAGCGGGACGAAATGTAAAATAAAAATCGGTCGCCAAGCGAGTTGAGGCTCATTAAGTTCTACCAACTCTCTTCTTATATCAAGAGAATGTTTAATCCATCGGTTCTCACAGGAACAGGTACACCTTTAAATTGCGCTAATTTTAGAAATTTGCGCCAAAGTGATATGTACAGAAGGTATGTTAAGTGCATACTAGGGAATCATATCAAGAAAATCAGAAACCGTACAAAAAGGCAGCCTCTTCAGTTGGATTCTGATTTTCCCCTGTTATGAAACGATTTCGGCTTGGTGATGTGGTAAGGAATAAGAACCCAATTTTCATACTCTCAAATGGCGTACATCAATTGACCTAGCACAAGTTTATGGGAGAAAAATTGATAATTTTGTCGGTTGGCAAAAAAATGAAATGTACAAAGAGCTCCTGCAGTTGATTTTTAAGCGTCTCAAAACACTTAGAGATTACATTCTGTTTTTCCAAAAAGTAAGTCTTACTTGAGAAAAAGTTGTGACTTGGCCTCCATAATATCTGTCTCCATTCCCTCGGGTTGCAGGGGTAAGCCAGAGAGGAGTGATGCTATTGCACGCATCACAGTAGCATCAAGATCTCTGCAACACCAAATTTCATGTGATTGGTACGTGAATAAAGAATGTATCCGTCTGAGAGTTAGGTAACTGAGGAGTCAGCACAAAACAAGGTCTAAAAATATCCATGATATGTTTATATCTTGCAAATTTTGCTGGTACAACTCTATCTCAATAAGGAGCTCACAATTTCAACAGGGCAATCCCTGTTTCAAGCCTTGTTGGTGTCTAAAATTTTAGTATTTGTAACAAAAATGATATCTTTCCTTGTCCACCAATGCGATAACCGTGCGTTTGTCAAAGCACGAGAGGCATGGGGGAGGCTCGGCGGAGAGCACAAAAAACGGGTTATAGTCGCTTGATGTCTATGTAGCCGGTAGCAGGTCTAGTTCCCAGAGCTCGGGGTTTCAACAGCTTAACATGGGACGTACGTATTTGAAAGTTTGGCCACATGAGAGAGAGGTCACCAAAACAGACCAGTTGCGAAATTTTTGGGCTCGAATAAAAGGAAACGTGCAATAACAATAATAATAATAATAATAATAATAATAATAATAATAACAACTTTATTTATCCTCTAATTTCAAGGTAGCACGCAAGTGCTAATATCTCCGAGCAACAAATAAACTTAAACTAAATAAATTCAAATAAAGATGGTTTTTGAGGAGAGGGGAAAACCGCAGTACCCGGGGAAAAACCTCTCGGAGCAGAGTAGAGAACCAACAAACTCAATCCACATATGACGTCGGGTCCGGGAATCAAACCCGGGACACATTTGCGGAAGGCGAGCGCTCTCACCACTACACCAACCCTGCTCCCCTGCATATTCATCAACACAGCACGTAGAGTCTGGAAAGCTTGGCAACACTAGCGCTTACTTGGATAAACTGGAAAGCTCTACAGGGATACTCTGGTGGTGTTCAGCAGAGGGTAGAACCCAATCAGTGAGGTATTCCACAAGCTTGTTCCGAAGCTTCACTTCTTGATGAAGTAAGAGTTCGTCTCTTTTTGCCATAACCTGCCACCACAAACAGCAGTTAGTATACGCTGCTTCCCATAGCTTTCCTTACAGCCACATTTCATCCATTTATTTCTGTAAAGAATCACGGTGGTTTATAAGATAAGTAGCAAAACGACGAACCACATCAATCAGCTGGCAGAGTTTACACTTTATCTGCAGAGCCTGGTGACTAACTGGGAGGTTTCTCACATATCTGAAAGACAAGACAAGGAGAAAAAAAGACTTAGTCATTTTATGCTCTTTTTCCTGGTTTCAATAGCATGAAAGCAACCAAGATTCTTGCTCCTCCCTCCTCTGAAGGACGCCAGTCCATCACAAGATTACCCCTCCCCCAGCATTTTATCTCTGACAGTTTGCCGGTACCCATTCTCACTCCTATCTCCACCCGGAAGTGTGTGTGTATACCTGCCGCCTTTTCTTCCTTCTTCGATTTGTTTTTTTACCCAAAAGAAGGGGAGGCAGACCCCTCCCCTAGATCCGCCACTGGTTACAAACTAATGCATGACAACCTGACTTACTAAGACTTAGATGTTGCAGAAAGGGTTGCCTTCTCTTACTAAAAAATTGCTTTAAACAGCGTGGGAACAAAAGCTGTGATACTAACCTTACGAATGACAGAATCATGGCATCAATGCCACTCATCTGAAAACAATCCTTGTGTCCTAGTTTGTTTTCCAGGATGTGTTTGATTATTACAATGATCTGGAAATCGTAAAAAAATAGCAATCAGCTTGTTTTGTGAGTCGTTGAAAGAAACGAGAAATATCAGACAGAAAGAAAGTAAAATAACATCATTTGCTGACTTTTTGAGCTTCTCCAAATTTGAATGCATTTCAAATATTCATAATGATGCGCACACTTGCAGCATCTGCAAAATATTCTCTGTGACTGTTCTTTCAAAAAATAGATTTTTCCGGATATAAAACACACAAAAAGCAAAGATGTAAAACAATTTCTTCTAGATTAAGTTTAAACTCCCAAAAATATATTAACTTATGGCATCAATTACACAAACCTGTGCTATAAATAGAGTGTGCTTTTCTTGAACCACCACCTGACAGGAAAATAAGTTTACATTAACAGCCAAATACATGAATATGGATCCAGTGAACAAAATGCCAATTATTAACTAACTGATCATTCAGAAATCATTCGCAGAAATTGTCAATATTATTTTTTGGTACAGAGCACTACTCAAAAATGCATTTGGATGCAGAGAGTAAGCAAATACCTACAGTTTGCACAGAGATGATCGGCTTTTGGTCAGGAACACCTTGGAGCTAGTTTTCGTATAACATGTCGTTACATTTCAGAGGGAAAGACGTTATTTGGCTTCTCACCAGCTTGGGATAAAGAAATATTTGAGTTTACATGACAAACTGGAACCTGAGATCTTTGGATTTCATTCCACGATACTGCGCCAGTAAGCCACAGAGAGCTCCATGGTAAGTTCTCCAGTATAAAATCTTTTTTCATTACACACCTAAGCTAAAAGGGTACCATCTCTCTTTCTATTTTACTCATATAAGGCTTTCTGTAAAATCTGACCCTAGCAGAACCCCGGATGCGTGTCACAAATGAACCCTAGCCTGTAATGACCTACGTCAACATAGATTGCAACACTGAATATTTTGTCCAAAGGACTTATTATCCTTCAACAGTTACCTTTACAACTGATAGCAAACTAACCTGCCCAGATGGTGTGAAGAAGCTGTTTACAACTGTCATAATCTGGGTCAGTAAAATGGGATAAAGCTTGGGACTTAACTCCACTCCAACCAGCTCATTGACTGTGCTACGTATCTGTAAAGGACAAGGTGTTGAAAAAAAAAAAAAGGTAAACAATACCAAATAGTGTGATTTTAGACACTGAACCCTATTAGTTAACAAAAAAGGATACATCAGAATAGTGTCATTACTGTAATGTGATCCCCAACTAGAGCATAGACATGTGAAAAAATATACTGACTGCTATACATCATTAAATATTCCCAGCCCAATTCAGGACTGGCATGAGCACAGCTCCAAAACATATGACACCACTTGCATGTCTGTCAGTAAAATTGTACAACAAAGCTACTATAATTGTATCTATATGCTCAGAGTTAACTTGGAAAAAACTCAATCAGATTTACCAACCCAAATCATGGCCAGGTATAATTGATGTAAATCTTCTACCTGTAAACTTCTCGTTCTCCATTACCTTAATTTCCAAAAGTTAACTCACTACTGTAACTAATAGCATTCACCTCATACAATAATCTCAAGTTTCATATCTACCTGTAAACCAGTTTTTTCATTACCACAAACCAGAAGACTCAACACATCTTGCATAAACCTAAGGATGGAAATAAGAAGGAACTCATTGAAGCTCCTTCTTTCTGTCACCTCTAAAAGAATTTTCAGATCAAGGAGAAAGAACATTAAATGTTTTCTTTTCAAAAGAATTCAATTTATCAAGGCTCCAAATCAGCCCATGAGGTCAACAATGACCTCAAAAATCTAACAAAATATCATATTAAGACTTGCCAACAACACATGAAAGACAAAACTTTTTCAGGCTTTTTTTTTCTGCAATTTCTCTAATTGCACTTCAACTGTGAGAATTATTTCATGTCTTGTAAATCAATAATGACATAATTATGATAACTCACTTCGTTACTGTCACGCATTCAGCATCATTTGGTTCAGCTGTGGAGTGTACTGATGAAGGAAGGCTTCTACTGTATCTTCTGCAATACAAACAGGAAAAATAATCTTTAACAATTAATATGAAAACCAAAAAAGATGATAAAAGAGTGCCAGCACACTGTCAGAGAAGCCTTACAAAATGCTGATGGGGGGGAGCAGCTTGCCATGGACCAGCATCCCACCCAGGGGAAGTAGAAACAATAATTTTTTTTACCACAATTGGCAGAAATGTTGTAACCTGATTGGCCAATTTGCCATTGTTAATAAGAGTACAGACAACACTACTTGCATCAAGGTGTCATACAATGCCTTTATCTTAGTCATGCATAGAGAGAATCACTATATTTGACGTCGATATTGTGGTAAAAAACAAATCAATTATGTGGTTTAGAGTAGTCTGAACTCTTATCAACAACAATATTCGTCATTACAGTGGTCAAAATTTGTTGTGGAATCACTCAGTTGTGCCTTATGTGTCCATAGCACTTTGACCACTGTCATGACAAATATCATTGTTGACAAGAGTAAAGACCACTCAAAACCACTGGAGATTTGTTAAAGTCCTTTGATGCTACTAAGACCTGAACAAGCTCTGGCGCATTGCAGACCACTTGGCTCAATTCCAGACTTAAATTAACATCACAATACCTTACTGGCTGTACTGAAGTCAAACAAACTCCACCAAGGGAACAGAGAAATCCTGTCATGTATGTCCATTCAATGAATGATGTCTAACAATTGAATACAGGAAATTAACAAACAAAGTCTTTACCCAAAATCTCTTCCTTTTTCCTTCAGCTGTACACAGAAAATAGCAATGACAACAATTTGCAATAAACCAAAATGTTCCTCTAAAATCATGTGTTCTTTATCAAGTATGCACTCCCACAACTAACTTTGTGCCTGTATTTCCCATGATAACCTCAAGCTCCTTGCTGCGGAGGAAATTATTGTGCTCATCTGTTGCGGGAGAAAAGGGGGATGTTGCACTTGGTTTAAAACTGGCTGTAACATTTTGAAAATTACCATCTGAAAAGTTTTGTATTCATTTTGAAATAGGACCAGACAAACTTCCACAATTCTGAGCTGCTACCCACCAAATGAAAGAACATCCTTGAGTCATTAAAACTTATGTACCTGCAAGTTGTCAGTAGTGAGTTTGGAATGTGATCTCCGCCTAAGATATTTCTGTACATCTATTGATGGAGAATCATCTTTACCAAAGTTGACAAGGTCAAATGTTAACTTTTGCCATTTTGAGTAAGTACTTTCCCAGGCCTGCGAATGAAATGAAACACAAGTCAAATTATCCAACAAACTAAGAACTGTTATTCAGCACTTTGCTTGCACCCAAACAACATAAAAATTCCCCAAGTTGAACAGTACCTGAAAATTCCCTGCAGTTTGGCTGTCAAGTTGCCTTAATAAAGCCATAATCCGTTTTTGCAGTGCTGCTCTTCCTGAAAAACAACAGATTAAGCTAAGTCATAGCGACAAAAAAAAGCTGCTTGGTTTATATTAGCCCATCACATGTACAGGTTATGGCCCCTCGCCTCACCTTTCACTAACTTTCCATTTTTCCACTAGATCAAATTTCCAAAAAATTTGTGAATGAAAAGTCTAAATGAAGGGATGTATAGAAAAGTGCTTTTGGTTATTTCTGTTTGACTGATAGATTATCCTCTATTGTCGTGAATTTCCTTGCAAAATACAGGCCTATATTTTTTTTGATAGGAGGGTCCTATATCACTTTTTGAAAAACCCACACTCCCCAGCTCTTTCCCTCTTAACTCTAAGCTACAAGTGGTCAAAATGTTTTGCTGCTTACTCAGTTCAGATCACACATCTATTATAATTTTTAAAGACACCCACGAGGCTTTATTCTGCACACTCTTCTTTTTATGGTCCTGTGCCTAACTCACCAGCTCTAAATTTGGTAGCCTCCTGTGACATCTCATTGTACACATTTAAGTTTTGAGAAGTTTGTAAAACATTTAGGGTCTCTGAACTTTGCACAATATCCACTTCATTGCACATTTGTCCAAAACAAGAAAGGGAGATCAATACAGTTTCCATATCTGGATTCCATAAATAACTTAAGAATACTTCCTGCAAAAAAAGGGAATGATAACAGATAAGTAATACTTTTCTTTTACTCGTGTTCATCGAACACTCATAAATATGTTCATGCAATCAGCATGGACAACAGACTTCATGACCACCCTATTCTGTTCAAGGGACCATTAAATGAATTCTGAGGAATAAAATATCTCAAGGCCTACACCACAAGCCTCCTTCTTTTCCAGCTCATTTTTTCCTTGGCCATATATCTGAAAAAACAAATACCTACCTCAAGTTTTGTTTGTGAAACTGTACATATTGGCAAGTGGCATCCTATAGAAGCTTGCTCCTGCAAAATTAAAAATATTGTATACACCTTGGATGATAATAAACTAATACATGTACAGTAACTCTTATTTGTAATTTAGACAAATCAAATTGTCCTCTATTGTAAATCACTACACAAACGACGAAATATCAACAGAACCCAACCAACCTGGTGTTTCCTTAAAAACTCAATTTTACACATGGTTAGGTCCCTCAAGTATCTCAGTAAAACAGTTCCATGGCTGCCATGACCAATGAGAAACTCCGCAATGGACACCATTACATGTGAACTACAAGAGCAAACAGAAAGGGCAGAAAAGGATACAACAAAACTGTGTTAAATACAAAGTGATTAATCTCAAATTATACTAAATTAATTCATATCTCTTATTCTACAAAAAAAAAAAAAAAACAGAAACCAGCACAATTCTATTTCTATAATTTAAAGGAAATTTGAGCAACTGAAAACATGCCTTATTTTAGCAGACACAAGTGAGACTATCCTGTGTAGTTCATTTTTTCTTACCTAATTTCCCAAAATGAAGCAATAGGTGCCACAGGATTCCACATCTCTATGTGATCAGCTTCAAAGAAACAGAGAAGAGTCTGAAGGAAAAGAAAGTGCAAATTGCACCATTAAATATCTGTGAAAAAAAGAGGCAATTAAAAAAGGAGTTTGTCATAATAATGGATAGCTGAATTAGCTCAGGCAAATGAAAAAGCTTCAAGCTAATGAAAGAATACCTCAGCTGCCTCATTTCTTATTTCTGCAGGTAGAGAAGGTGTCAACATCAAATTGACCACGCCCATGATAACTTGAGTTGAATTCTTTTGTATCTCCCAACCATGAAGATCAGGATTCTGTTCACATGAAGTCAAACATAATAATAATAATAATAATAAACATTTTAACGTGGAGAAACACTTAGCTAGAAGCTAGTTTACAGGTTTTCCACCAAACAACTTAAACAAATAATTCAAATTGAAAATAACATTCTTAAGAATCCCAACTGGCCCAAGGCAAACCAGTTGGCTATATTACAAGCATGGCCAAGGATTTGAAACTCAGGGCTACCGTGAAACAAATCTAGGTAGTGGCCAGGGCGGGACTTGAACCAGGGAGTGGCGGATTACAAGTCCAACACGCTGACCACTCGACCATGAGGCCTTCGTAACATAAATGAATACAATTTTTGCTTTTTACCATACCAGAACAGTTAACTTCAGAAAATGAAACTTACATTAAAAGCAAACACAGGATCTGCATGAAAAATTTTCACCAGCCACAGTAATAACTCTTTGTCTTGCTTCTTGTTGGAATGAACCTCATCTTCTTTGTGTTTCTTGTCCTTTACCTTGTAGATCTGGGTCACAAAACTAACTTTGTCAAAACCAACATGTTTTAACCAAGACATTAATTGGTAAATGATACTTGTCTGTCCATCTGTCCATCTGACGATCTCTTCCCATCTGGGCCCAGTTGTTCAAAGGATAGATAACACCATTCAACAGATAAATTGCTATCCAGCAGATAACTGTTGACAAAAATGTACTGCGCTATCCACTCGATAGAGATTTATTCTGTGGATAGCGTTATCCGCCATTCAAACAATTCAACCCAGAGCCTGTTTAATGTATGCATGTCTGTCAGTTTGTTTGTCAGTCTGTTTGTCACTCGGTCAAGTTGTCTTGCCACTAGTCTCACCAAGGGTGTGGCAAAGTACGGTTTAAAGGTTCATGTGGCCCCCTTTCTTTATCAAAAAAAAAAAAAAGAAAGAAAAATCATAATTTTTGAGTATCATAATAAAACATCTGCTGATAACCCAAATGGTAGCATGATACTAGTCCAGCCCCCCAATCCACTCCCCTCACAAAAATAATCCCACTTACACCCCTCCTGATCAGCTGTCTATCTGTTTGTCTGTCTGATTGACTGACTGACTACTTAATTTCTTCATATTCACCTGACTTAACCTTGACTGTTGTCCCTCTTGTTCAGCACTCTGAATTTTGTTACAAATATTCTGAAATGACAAAAAACACAAAGTGCAGTGATTTTTTTAAAGATACTATAACCTTTAGACAGGTAGTCTTCTGTCTTCTACAATAAAGGCAAGTATTACAAACCATTACTCATTATGAATCCTGGTAATGGAATCTTAATATTGTTAAAAAGCACACTATAGAACACGTTCCTATTTTACCAGACAGTGGAACTCTTATTTATTACAACTGATACACCCAAAAGATGTCAATATATCAGTGGATATCAAGAAAGATCAGAGAGTTGGACAAATGACAGGATTACAAGTTAACATACCAAGAAGATATGTCTTAGTGCTGGGGCTTTTGGATGAAGTACTTCAGCTTTTGGCCACCATCTCAAAGGAGCCTACATAAATGTCACAAAATAGTAATAATATTATCATTCAACCAGTAGAGTTTTTCTTTGTTTTCATATCTTCATCTAAACATATGGGGTGATTAGAGAATTTGAGGAAGTTGTGTACAATGTAAACTTAAGTGCTATCAAGATGTTACAAGATTTTCTTTGCAATACATAATGTTTACAAAACAGAGGCAAATCCAGGGACTTTTGGCCGAGGGAGTCCAAAATTACTTTGACTCTACCCAAGCACACCCCTTTCCCTTCCCTCTACGTTACACAAGTGTTGCAAGAATTTTAATGCCAGACAAGCAGGAAAAAAAATCAACAGGTCTAATAGGGGTGGGGGGGGGGAGAGGATCCAAACCTTCTGGACACTCCCTCTGGATTTGCCTTGCTAGTTCTACAGAGTCAAAACATTTCTCTCATCCCTTGATTGAGGGTGGAAATCACTTGTAACTATATCAGACCTACATGTTTTCATTAACACCTTATGACAACTCCATCAGGTTTGACAAAGATGCCAAACAGCTATTGAAACTTTCAACTGTAGGTAAAACTTAAGACCAGGTTTGAACAAGTGTTGTAAAAGCAGTTTTACTGTTTTCTGGTACAATGACTTTCTCCACTGATATCTGTATTTTTGGCTGACCATCCAATGCACTGATGGCATGATTATTTGAAGGGATTTAATTACCTCTTTTACAATAGCATAAGTTCCTTTGACAAAGACAAGGTGGAAAATAATTGGAGAGTTTGGCTGTAGGCAGATATCAAAGTGCTGGTTGTTTCTGTGATTGATGCGGAAACTTGACACAAAGCAATCAACCATTAGTTCCTCTGTTGTGAATAAACCACCAGATCCTACAGAAAAAGGCTTGCTCACATTGAAAAGTAATGCCTGCAGAGAAAAAATGAAAACAACAACAACAATGTAAAAATTAATGGAAAAGAAAATTATTTCAAATTATGTGCCATTTATTTATATTTAATTTAGTAACTGTAAGATTCATTGATTTATGATGACATGCTGTTCAAATATATCAGTTGATTCAATCAACTCGTGTTACGTTACAGACTGGCCTAACATGTAGCTTGCCACTTGATGTCTCTGTAATTCCTCAGAACAAATACAACTTAAACAAATAACAAATAATTGCAGTTGCTCAAAAATAGTCCTTTCCATTAGGTTTGAGCAACACAAGTTACTCTTGAACATCATTGTTAGGTTTATTGCCTTTCCTTCTTTCAGCTAGTGGTTCTGTACCAGTATCTTTGATTTTCTTCCCTTCAAACTAACACTACCTCACAAATTACATTTACATTTGAACATCTTCTCCGCAAAATGAAATTTTAAGTTGGACTCAAAACACAGCCATCAGTCAAACCACTATCCCAGCAAGACAACAAAATTCATACTGTACCTTCAATTCATTGAGCATGGAGACAACAAGGAAACACAAAACAGAGTTATCTTCAGGTTTCATGTAAGTGGCAACCTTGCAGAGTTTCACGCACACTACTGCTGCACTCTCTGTCAGGTGCTTGGTACTATTTAGTGCCTTCTTCAGATGATCAAGAAAATCTTTCTAATGATATCACAGAAAAAAAAAGTGCAAAATGATCATGACCAATTCAAGCTGATGGCAAGAGATCCTGCTCGTATCTAGTAGAAAGGTAAAATTCTGCACAAAAGAAGGGCAAACATAGCAGCAAGAGATTTTTGCTAAATTCTGCAAGGATACTTAAACCCCCTTCAAGATAGGATGCTATCCCACCACTGTCTACTCAGTGTGTCATCAGGTTTCCAGTTTTTTAGTTCACTGGGTGAAGAGAGGTACTGTAAATTCAAAGTGACTGAAGTGCCTTGCACTTTTAACAAAATGATGAACCTAGCCAGGTCTATATGATAACTGTTTCTTCTGAGTCAGGGAATCATGGGAACTGCACTTGTATAACCATGTATGCCACAGCAATACCAATCTAGCATCTATTCTGCAGCAGGGGTTTTCATTAAGGGCCAGGCACTGGGCAAATTGACTGGCACAGTTGTGAGGACTGTTTTGCCCACCTGGTTTGACGATATGGAGGAAAGTCTATCTTATAAAGAAGTTCAATTCAAAAAGTTTTTCCCGCCTGTGAAAACCCAGTTGCCCTCCTGCTGAAAATGTTCCTGAAACCCCTGATGCAGGAAATTGAAGTTGCAGCAAGTGACCACAGGGTGCTTCACAAGCCATGGCAGTAGAAAGCCTTATCACCCTGTACACTCTAACACCAGTATGTACAATGCATATTCTCCATACTGTTCTCCGTACATTTCTTACTGTACTAACAAGGAGAATTTGTTTCACAATCGAGATCTTCTTAAATTGGTGATCATTTCCTTTATTCTCATGACCTTAATGTGTGATTCAGGGGTGATATTGTAAGGAGAAATTAGATGCTGGTCATTCTTAAGGGTCTGAGGGTTAAACTCTGTCCTTTGACAATCAGAGAGTAATGGTGCTTACCTTATTAGCTTTACTGACATCAAATACTTTTTCACTTGTGGCTATTTGTTTCAGCATATCCTGTTAAAGAAAACTTTGCCATCATTATCTGCATGGAGGGCACATGCTATCAGTTAGAAGACTGTGTGTCAACTTCAATGACTGGTTAAAATCATCACATGCTTTACTGCTTTTTAAATTTTTTCTATAATTTACTTTCATTTCTCCCCCCCCCTCCCTCATTTCAATGCTCACTAATTTTAGGCAACAGTGCCTGGCTGAGGGGGGAGGGGGAAGGGGGAAAGAGGGCGGGAATTTTCAAGTAACTTATAATAAATGAATCACAAGATTTCTGTTATTATGCTGAGTAGATGATTATAAACCACCCAGTAAGAGGAATCTTGCCAACAACTTCTACCACTCAATATAACTCTCCTTCCACTCAAAATTTATCATATTTATAGAAATGATGCATTTGAATTGCTGGTTCGTGTGCACAACACAGATGAACCTGACAATGGCCTTTTCACCATCAAGTTACCATTTTCCTCAAGTAAGAGCCCACATTCCAATAAGCACCCTCCCCCAATAAGCACCCATCCCTCAGGCCAATAATTATATCAAACAAGTGCCCCCCCCCCCCTAAATAACCACTCCCCTCCTCCCTCACTTACCAATATGTAGGTAGGTTTTATTTTTTCTTTTTACTTTTACAACAGTATACACGTGTGTTTTAGGACACACGGTTTTAGTAAATATGATGCTTACACTTAACTAAACATAATCAACCACTACCCAAAAATAGCATAGCTAGTCTCGGCGGGCAGTGTGTGGACCCTAAAACATCTTACATAAATTTTGGTTCAACAAAAAATTCAATAAATATACAAGAAACAGAAATTAAATATTAAATCATTAGCAAAAAAACTCTCAGCAAAAAGTAGTAAGGATTCAAGAAAAATATTTTTCTATCACTACTTTATTTATAACTTTTTAAGCCTCCTTCAATAGTTACCCTTCTTTTAAGCCGAAATTTTAAATAAGCACCAGGCATTTATTGCAAAGAAATACTGTGCAATGTATCCGCATTGATTTTTTGTTTGTGTGGCTCTAGTTACAAAGATGCATTTACCAGACATTTACTAAGAATAAGAGTAAGAAACAATAATCACAGTTAGAAAGTCTTACTGGGCATAGAATAAGCAGCATTATTTGGAGAGGCCATACTGCAGCTTTTCTCTTTGAACTCTCAGCAAAATTATCCACCATGTCAAACAGCTTCTCTGCATACTCTGCGACAAATAAAAAAAAAAAAGATCAGTTCTTTGGTTGGCCTTTCAACCAATCATTCACTTACAGCTTTCACTCACTAGTGGTGCTCACTACTATTTTGTTTATGCACATAAACTGCACATAACCCATCAAATGCACATAAAATGCACATAAAATGCACATAAAATGCATATAAAATGCACATAAAATGCACATAAAATGCACATAAAATTCACCTGAAAGTTCTGGTGACGGTTCTCTCTGTAGCTGTGCAAATTCATCTGGACTGTTCTCAACCCAATTCCATATAGCCTAGCATGAGAAATTTAACCATCTCATTATGGCATAAAAACAAACAATTCTAATTTGAGATCCACACTTCTCCTTAAGCGCTCTCTACCATGATAAAAATACACCTACCTTTTCCAATCCAGATACTAAAGCTAGTTGACCAATCTTCTTCAACGATCTGAATACCTGAATGCTTTCTGAAATGACAATAAGACCACATGGTAATTATCAGTGACCACTAACTCTACAGTACAGCACAATGTGTAAATCTACAGTTCAGTTTGAGGGACTGGACACCTTTCAATGATGAGTAGTTGTGAAACATCTTGCCAATTTTCTTGATCAGAACAACTTCAGCAAATGCCAATAGCCGAAAGAACTATTTTAATTAGTAATCCTAGTAATATGAAAACAGGAATTACAAGCCACAAACTAGGCTTACAACACTTGAAAATGTATTTACTTAACCCCATGACCCCTAAAAGTGACTAACATCTAATTTCTCCTTACAATATCACCCCCGAATCAAACATTACGGTCATGAGAGTAAAGGAAATGATCACCAACTAAACAAGCTTTTGATTGTTAAACAAATTCTCCTCATCTACACCCAAGGAAATGTATAGAAAACAGTATGGAGAATATACATGTTGATGTTAGGGTGTAAAGGTTTAAGCCAAGTGACCCATCTAGCCAGAGTTTATCCAAGTTTCCATTGCATGAAGCAACTAAGAGTATGACTTCCCCCCCTGGATAGGATGCCAGTCCATCACAAGGTTACACCCCAGCATTTCATCAGATTTGCTGACAATTCGCCGCTACCCAATTCTACTCCTAGGTGGAGAGAGGCACTGGGAGAGTAAAGAGTCTTGCCTAAGAATACAACACAATAAACCGACCAGGTCTAAAGTCCCCGACCTCTCAATCTGGCTGGAGTCATGCACACTACTCATAAGGCCACTGCACCTCCCACTTACAATGATTGACTAACAAACAAATCTTTATGTGACTTTGCTGATGACATCAGCTGACATTTTCAATATTCAGTGTCTACTACCAAAAATAGTCCTTTCGAGGATTTTTCTCCCCCCTGACAATCAGACTCCATTATCAACTTTAATTATCCAAATGTGCTTCATAGAGTAAAAATAGCGCAAGAGATGAGTACAAATGTCATGCAATATTCGTACTCCAGAAATATCTGCAAAATTCACCCACACTGAAATAACAATTTGGCATGTTGGATAATAAATCTCTGATTAAACATTTTGTTGTGTAGTATCACTAGGTATTTTTACTCGTTGTTTGTATTTTGACTCTCCCTACTGGCTCATCAAAATGTAGCACAACTTGTAAAAATACTCAGTGATACTATACAACAAAACATTTAATAAGATATATTTAATCCTGGGTTAAAGAATTCATTGGAAAAGCAAATCTAACACATTAGACAAAGAACAAGTTGGCAGATTTTACAATAGAAACAGACTCAACTCAGTAGGGAATTAATTTTTAGTTACAACTTAATCATATCAACTCTTGTACCTTGCAACAGAATTTGAAGAGAAGACACATTCACATGTAAATGTCGAATAAGTTCAAGTTCACCAGTATCAGAATTATCTTCAGTATTGGCAAGCACATGAAGTCTACAAGAAACAACAAATACAGTCATGTACTTCAACATCAATTTCATTTAACATAAGGAAAGGATTTACAACAAGATAAATCACAATATTGCCCAGGAACATATCAGACAGCAGTGGCAGTTCTGGACCATGTACTAAGGGGGGCAGATCTGTTAACTGTGTACAATTACTGGCTTTTCTTCTTTCTGTGACTTTTCTTTACTCAAACTAAGGAGGGGGGCCAGGCCCCCAGACCCCTCCCCTAGATCCGCCACTGGACAGTATACTAAATTCTGCACACTTTCTGACATGTTCTTGGCAATGAGTTATCAAAGAACAGTTTCTTTCTGACATGAAATGAAGAGACTGCATGATGCTATATGTATATTCACAACGAACAGATCACAGAAGACCTTATGATATGTCAATCAGACTGCAATAACTTGCAACTTGTAGTTAACTTTCTGTTTAGCAATGTACAGTTTAAGGAATACGATACTAAGAAATGATCAAATGCATCACAGAGCAGGTAAGGGATTAAGTGGCTAGATACATGTATGCAACAAGTTGTTTAGTTGCACTTTTATCAACCAAGACAAAGAGGACATCTTTGGAATGCTAACACAGGAACAAAGTTAGGAACAAGCTATTTTGAACAAACAAGCTATTTTAACCAAACAAGCTTAGTTAAAAAGAGATTTATTACATCTCAAAAAGATTACATCATTTTGTTAAATAAATTCATGAAATTCCTCCATAATTTCCTTAGTTTTGAACATCAAAGAAATGTTTGTGACTTTGTTGCTGCCAGAATGGCAATATACCTTTTTTTTTCTTGTAACAAAAAAGTTGCTGATACATTATGAAAAAATATACACAGCTACAAGTAGAATCAACCCAATAAATAACAAGAAATAATTTAATAAGATTTAACAATTGGTATTAATTTTACCTGATTGCAATGCGATTAAAGAGGGCTGAGAAATGGTGCACACTGATGTGGGAGAGTACCTTGCCAGCTAGAATTTTCTGTTCAGCTTCCAGAGGGAATCCATTAGACTGTGTTATGAACTAACATGATAATACAGAATACAAGATGTCAGCAACAAAAGAAGTGTATCATGACCAATGAATAATGTGTAAGGACCAGTATGGTGAAAATACATATTGATGCAAAGGTATAAATGTCTTTATTAAAAACTTCNACACGATCAAATGTTARCCCCCGGTTCAAACTATTTACTTTCTGAAGAATATAGCAGGRTGGTGCAGAACAAATTTCAAGCCGGTTAGTTCAGTCATTATCATAGAGGAGCACAGAGCACATGTGTGGGGAGGTGTTTAATGAATTTTTCATGCTTTACGCGGGCTGTTAGGAAAAGATTATCAAATTTGACACATGTAGGTTCTGTCTACGTATCTTCAGGTATTTCTCCGAGAAACCGCACATCGCGGGCTCATCACGCAATAAAGAACTTGCTGACGAACTTGCAAGGCGTTTTACGGAATATGGATTTGATGAAGTTGAAAAACCAGAGTATAAAGCATTGTTGTCTAAACCAGACTTGGTCAAGAAAACGAGGATTACTATCAAGTATAAGAATAATGCTAGCATCATTTACCAAGTCAAAGGAGAAGAACAGGTACGAATTACATGTTCTTACACTGACCATCTCATCTCTAAACTAAAAAAACTTTCGCAAAATTAGCTAAACTTTATCATTTTTTATCACATTTAGGAGGGAGGAGCACAACCTGGAGTTATTCAACCTTTCCTTGGTTACAGTCCCAGTGGGCAAGTCACGGGTGAACTTGTATACGTTAATTATGGTCGAGTGGAGGACTTTATGCAGTTAAAAAATCTCAACGTCAATGTGACCGGGAAAATTGCCATCATGAGATATGGGAAAATATTCCGGGGAAATAAGGTAACTCTTGAAGTGTCCAAGATTCTAGTATATAGGAGTGTACGATGTATCTTATTAGATATTTGAGCTCCATTTGAGCATCACAGGTCTCTCTTTGGGTTATTCAGTTTGAGGGCGTCCAAGTACATTCCTGTAGTAGCTTGTTCCTCTGTTAAAATAGCCTGCAGTGCCGGCTTATTTTGGGCGCACGAGTCCACATTTTCGTATTAGGCCGCCATCTTAGATTTGGTAACTGTGGAGGATTGGGGCGAGGAAAAATTTCCGCAGGGCAACTATCAGCCGATAGTTCCTTAGCCTGCAGTGCTGGCGTATTTTGGGCGCACGAGTCCACATTTTCGTATTGGGCCGCCATCTTAGATTTGGTAACTGTGGAGGATTGGGGCGAGGAAATATTTTCCGAGGGAGTAGGTGTTAAGTGGAAAACTGGGCAATGGGGGAGAGGGAGGGGAAGGAAAAATACGAAAATGTGCACTCGTGCGCCCAAAATATGCCGGCACTGCAGGCTAATAGTTCCTCGACAGAAACACTCTATTGTTTAAATAGTAATAATTGCAATGGGATGAACACTTTAGTGGGCTTAGTAAAAAAAACATTCTCCAAATCAGTCTACCTTTTCAAAACAACAGGACATGGTATCCATGGTAATGCTATTGGATCGTGATGCAAGGGTCATCTTCTCTGCTGATAGGGTACACTAAAAAGGAAATGAAAAATCTATTTCATTTCTAAAACTTTCTTTGATTACAATAAGAAATCCACAATACAGCCTACTCTAAAAAATTAATATGCATGCCGACAAGTTGATACTTTATTAAAGCAAGGTTTCAATTGAGTATCAAAAATGACCCTGGATTAGTTTGGTTTTTCATTACTTTGTTCTGTAAAAGAGTCTGTTCACAAGCCAAGTGGCCCATCAGGCTGCCACTTAGCTTCAGTTTCCATAGCATGAAACAAGTTGGAGTATTTTTAATCCCTCCAATGGGATGCTAGTCCATCACAAGGTTACCCCCCCCCCCCAGCATTAAATTGCTGGTACCTATTTAAACACCTGGGGTAACAGAGACACTGTGGGAGTAACGTGTCTTGCCCAAGAACACAACACAATGTCCTGGCCAGAGCTTGAACCCAGACCAGTCAATCTGGAGTGGAGTGCACTAACCATGAGGTCACCGTGCCTTCCTCACTTTGCTCTCTGATTGCTCCATAAAACTTGTGCCACTATATCCACCAATCAAATGCAAAACTTAAAAACCAATCCAAACTTGGTCATTCACATTTTCCCACACTTTAAGTAGGTAACCTGTTTTACATTTGAGTTCTCAGTGGTTAATGATCAACCTTTGTTTTTTTGGTTTTTTTTTTAACACTTAATGGAAAATGGCTCTAGACTCGTCTAACTGCTACAGAAGAGAACAAACTGTGTCTCACCAACTTGGATGGTTCCTTAATGAACCCAGCAAGTTCTGCCACCACCATACTAAAGTTATGTTCACTGAGGCTAATAACACAGTTCTTAATGTGCTCTGTACTTTCATGATTTTTCTGAGAGCGTGTTGATTCATATGGAAGCTGGAATACAAAAAAAGAAATTGCAGCATCAGTAGGAAATCCAATGTAAGTGAATCACTCTTTAAACCAAATATCGCAATGACTTGAGAAAACCAAAAACTAAATGGTCAGTTTCTTGCCTTTTCCAAGTAATTAACATTTTAAACTGATCTTCAGAAAAGTATGGGGTTGTATATATGGAAATCTTTCCCCCTTTTTTTTCCAAGTTCAGTCATGGAATTTTGGCCAAAAAGTCTTCATCTTAATGGTTGGTGCAAATGTCAAGGGTAAGTAGCAAAGAGGTAAACCCTTTCACTCCCGGGAGTAACCAAAAATTAACTTCTCCTTACAATAACTATACATTTTCAAGCAGATAGCTTGGGAGAGGTAAGAACAATATCAATTAGGGGATATCCTTTGATTTTACACAAATTCTCTAATCTAAAATTATAAGAAAACTATAACCAAAAGTTTGAAGAATTGATAACTAAATCTTGATTCGATCATGATGTATGGATACATAAATTGACAGGTAAGTCGGTAAACAAAAGCCTGGTTAGATAGAAACGCTCCTGAATCACCGGCAAAAACATGCATTTTGTAAATCTGGCTCTCCTTTTGATTACAAATAAACCTGGCTATTGCGACAAAAGAAACCATCCTACGTGTAGTTGTAACATCATATTATCATAAGAACGAAAATTCACAATACTCTGCAAACCACAAAAACATCATCTCGGTGTCAACTACGTAATCGCGACGCGACACGTAAGTTATTTTCTTCAATAAATTCTTTCGTGAATCATTTATGAAGTTTGGAAAGAGAATCAGCCAAGCATGCAAAGGTGAGATACATCAAACGGGTCCCAAATGATTCGACGAAGTGAGAATGTTTAGCGAGCTTTCACGGACAATTTTATTAAAATTATTTTAACGCGACAAGAAAAGGCAAGTCGAACCCTGGTGTGTGTTAAAATTCCATCGCCCTGGAAATAATGCAATCAAGTGAGCAATTTATGGTGCGTGTAATTCCAAAACGGATAATGAGTAATCTTAGACGTATTGATGGCATCAATGGAATACGCGACACTTCATGAATGAAAACACTTCGATTTTCAAGATTTACATGCTCTAAAGGTGACCATGTCAAGAAAAAATTAATTTCTGAAATCTATAGTTCGACTAAGTAATATAAACACTATAAACATCCAAGCTGGCTTTGAACGCAAACTTTCAAACAACCGTACGAGTCGAAATACATAGTCTCACCTGACTTCTAAATCGGCGCAACACAAGTCTGACCCACTCATCCGACTTATTTTCCCGCTGCATGGTTTGTTATTCTGTTAAAGATTTTGCCAGCGACCACAATTACCTTCCACATCGTTTACGATCGTTCTGAGCTGCGGAGTACTTCGTCTGCCCTCTTGAGCTAGGAGGCCCAAGCGGCGGAAATACGTTTGATTAAGCCTTTCCAAATATGGGCATGGGCGCGTTGCGGCGCCAAAAACGACAACTTCCGGAAAGATATTTACCTTGTAAAATTTCGCAATATCGGACTTCGAAATGATCGAGAAAAAAATATTTATCCCTGGAAACAACGATATGAAATGAAACTAGTCTATTTGTACACTTCGATCCCTTTTTTTTTTTCTATAGACTCGAATGTTTTAAAAGTAGTAATAATCTCATGCATGACTGCCCCACGATTGTTCGTGATGTAATTTGTTCTAAATGAGTACGCTTACTTTAATCACCGCAAAATATCATTATTTGACTCCCCTTAAGAAACGACAAACATCCAACTTGCCCTACTAAGCTCCGGTCGATAAAAAAGTTGGAAATCAAGAAATATCGTCAGTTTCACAATTTTAGATTAATTCTCCCCKCCCCCCCCCCCTCTTCTCAACTCCCTTCACTTAAACGCTTAAAGGTAGCCAGCTCCTTCCTGGTTCTTCTTTTTACTCTGCTCACGCCTCAAGAATGTGACGGCCAGGAGGGATCTAGGGAGGCACGCATGAATCTGGACTCAAGTAAATTCCCCTTAAAACAATAAACACAAACGCTCACATAGTTTGTGCATGCCCCTTGTCGCTCGAGATATCCAATCTGAGTACTATACGATTACTAGCAGTCCCTACTTTTTATACATCAGTTTAAAAAAATGATTTTAGCGCACTGTGCAGAACTCTCACTTTTCGTACACCCAACTCCCCTCCCTAGATCCCCCCCCTCCCAACCAGAGTTCCGCGCGGCGCGATAACATCAATTTTTTTTTTTCAGAGGGACTGCTCGTGGCCTAGAGTGTCATAGGTATTTTCCATAAACTAATTGGCAACATCTAAACTTTTCTCTGAAACGAACGGAGACCGCCCTTGCGGTGTACCTTTGTCCGCCACGTCATATGTCTGGGAACGTGCGCGCGCTCAGGAAAGTCAAAAGCACGTCATGACCTCGCGTCACAAAGGAACGTAGAAACTCAATCAGTTTCACATCCGGTCAGAATTAAATCGCGCCAAGATGGGAAACTTTCATTCGATGATTTGCGCAAATCGCAAGAACATTGGAGTCGAGGAAACTGACAAGGAACAGATAGAGGAGACACCGATGGTTAAGATCCATCTCAAATGCCCTTCAAACAAGGGCTCGTCCCATTCTCAGCAGGAGCTAAGTCAGGACATCGACACCGCAGAGGCGGTAGAGTCATGCAGCGTTGAAGCCCTAGACATTGTGTCTTACTCCGGTAGTGATGATGAATGGTCATCAGATTCATTATCAAGTCAATCGGAAGACGAGTGTGATACGCCAAGTGCTGCAGAGGACCAGTCACAGGTATCCTTCACCTTGGAGGTCCGCGGGAAAAAGTGTCTGCCCAGACACACGAAAATAACTGGATTGGGCCAACAAACCGGTTACATGCATTCTTATTTTCTCGCACCGGTTGAAAGTCCCACAAATTGGAGAAATGAGAGATATTCAAGAAGAGGTAAAAGTTCTAATGGCGGATACAGATCTGTGGCAAGAGAGTATCCCGGATTATTAGCACCTCAAAGAGCACGTAAATTTTCATTTCCCGCTCCCCGGCCTTCACAGTGGCAATGGATGTATTCCAAATTACTCAAACCCAGAGAGCAGCTTGCCAATGAAAGCTTAAAGAAAAAGCAACTGAAGAAGAAAGAGGTGCATCGAGAAGACGGGACACGCGCTCCAAATGGACCGCTAATGGAGAAGAAGATAAGAAAATCGGTGAAATCAAAAGTAGCTGAAGATTCTAAAAGCGGTCCAAGATGCCACGGAAGCCCGAGCTCATCCTCTACTGCTTCCGTCATTCACAAAACCTCACCAACAACAAACAATGATTACACGAACGGGAGATCTCGCAAGTTTTTTCGAGGAAGAATTAACAAAGTCGCTCCCATCTAAGGAGATGACAAAGACTACATGCTCTGAGACCAAACGGTTGAAAGTTAAAAGAAGAGTAAGGGCGAGAGAAAGCGGAAAACTGGTGCGTAATATCCCCATCTCGCGGTCGATACACGTTCCAAACACTTCGCAGCCCTACATGTCTCGACACTAACTTATTCATATTGAACCCAACGAAAAATAAAGCGCTTGATGAATTTGCCTAAACGGTGTATTTATCGTGCATTTAATGTTATGAAGAACTTATTCTACAAATAGCTATGCGTTTTAAAAAAAGGGAAGCAGCTTGGAGCTATTTCCTGTTATGAGCCAAAATACAGAAGAAGAACTTGCGCAGTCCGAGATAAATTGGGAAACTTTCTCTTGACCGACAATTCGATAACATTCGGTCAAGTTTACTTAAGGGGCTACACCTTTAAAGAAAGGAAAGAGGAAATAACTAAATCCCCAGAAAGGGCCTTCCATATAAGGTATTCCCAATTGCGAAAATCCCCAGATTTCAACTCACGTAAGAAATACATGCGACGTCTAACCATTCTACTCACAAAACAAACAAATGCGCTAAATACAGACAACGGTATTACCAGCAAACCACTAATTCCAAAAGTATCACCTCTTTAACTCCTAAGCTCTTCATTGTTGACAAATTCTCCTTGTTGGGAACTCATCTTACACGGATCAATTTTCAATTGTGTCGAAAGCAATCCGAGAAAGCATCGGTTTCACTTTCTTAGTTCTGCGTTGGGTCTACAGCAATCTACAAAACTGTCTTGTTTAATCGGATACAAACCAACACCAATCACAATGGTTGGTCGCGTTTTCGCGCGCTTCAGGCTGCTTGCCAGTTCTGTTTCTTGAATTCTCGTCGTTTCTTTGCAACTTTTTTCCTTTTCCTGTTTTAAAAGTGTTATAACAATGACCAGTGGCACCCTTGGTTACTACCATCTAATTTCTCCATGCAGTGAATAAAGAAAATGATCACCAACTATAGGGTCTTCATTGGGGTTTTATCAACTGAGTAGATAATATAAATTGGCCACCGTAAAGAGTATTAAAACGGTGGCCAATTTACATTATCAACCAACCATTATAAAACCCCAATGAGGACCTTGTTATTCCCGCCGACGCGGCTCCACCGTTTCTTTAGAAACTTACTCCCTTTGAAGGTTTTCATTGTTCAACAAATTCTCCTTGTCATAACTGTAAGAAATATATACATAACACTATGGAGAATATGCATACTGATATTGGGGCGTAAAGGGTTTTATTACACGACTCGGGCAGTCAGAGGGCCAATAACTAAAATCAACCAATCAAAATGCTCTATTGCCGGTCCAATATTCTCTAAGTATTGGACCGGGTACTGTCCCGAATGGTCCCGAATGATACCGCACTTGTGTCCCTTTGAACTTCAGTCGTCTAATAAATCTCTTATTAACCAAGCTTGCTCGGGACGGTACTGGAAGAATATCGGCCCTCGGTCTTTTTTGTACGGACCTCGCTGCGCTCGGTCCGTACTGTCAAGACCTCGGGCCGATATTCTCCCAGTACGGCCCTCGCGCTTGGTTAATAAGATATATAAGTCGCACCCAAAAGGTATGAAGTCTCAACACAACCCAGGCAAAAAAAAAAGGCGGCAGTAAAAACTTCATTATAATGCGATTAAAAATTTCCTTTCAAATTAAAAGCTCTGCAATTCCAGAGCTACGGTAAGGAAAAGTAAAACTTGATGACTGGTTCAGATCAGTTTGAAGTTTGTAATAGCGTTGTCCTCATCACTAAACCGAACCAAATTAATTATCTAAACATTTATCCAGAGTGAACCAAGCTGTCTAGGGAAACGATTCCTTTACGATCTCCCGTAGCTTTTCATCAATTTGGGCCAAGTCATCGAGATCTACTCGTTTACAACGCAGCAAGAGAGTCTTGCCACCAGTTTTGTTTAGATCGATCGTTCTCACAAGTGTGGATAAATTTACCGACAAGAGTTTTGTTTTACAACTCGCAGTATGTTTATGACATCACCCCGTTCATTCGCCCAGTTCAAGATGTTCACATCAATGGCTTGGCATCGAGTTTTGCTTGAATTTTTCCGGCTTCCTTCCTCAGTTTTCTTGCTTCGGGCCAGTTTCCCTGCATGGTATAAGCAATCCCAAGAACTGTCAAAGTGCGTACAACTTCAGGATGTTCATCGCCGTGAATATTTCTTTGTCCATTCAGAGCCATGTCTAAGAACCGCCGCGCTTGCGTCGTTTCACCCAACGAAAGATACGCATGCCCCAAATCAGTGAGTGTGCTGGCCACGTCGCTTGTGAACCGGCGCGTTTCAACTTCGTCCGGGCTGATGGGTGCCGCTGACTGCATGAAAGAGAAGGCTCGCTCAACATAGTCGCGGCTTCGCTCCTTGAAGCCTAACCCTCCATAGGTAGCGCCTAGGGCTGATAGGGTTCGCGCGTAGTCAAGAGGCTGTTTGTATTCCCCGAATTTCCTTCGTTGCGACTCGTAAATTTGAATCGCTCTCTCGAGAAGTTCTCTACATCGTTGTGCGTCGTCCAAAGAGCTGCACACATCTGCTAGACGTGTCAAAGTAGACGCTACCTCCAAGCTAGAGTCGCCATACAGTTGTGTTTCAATGGACAGAACATCTTCTAGAAGTCTCCTACTGGACTCTAAGTTCCCAAAGGAAGCATCAGTGGAGGCTACGGCCGAGATGGCATGAGCACGACTTTTGGGTCCCAGGCTCTTGGAAGTACTAGCGGCTAAGATGTGATCCAGATGAGGCTTGAGGAGTCTGGCGAGAGTCCGTGTTTGATTGTCTTGGCCGCAAACGGAAGCTACTCCGTTTATAGTTTTCAAAATACGCGCCGTGCGCTGTTGACAGTGACGAACGGCATCACTAGTCTTTATCTTCCTAAATTCCTCCTTGATCTGTGACTCACTCTCCTGCAACAAACCACTGACATTGGGCCCGGAGCAGAGGGGAAGGAGCTCGCTATCAGACAAATTTTCATGCAAATTCACAGCTTCCTCTTGAGTGACTTCACCAAGGGAATTGCGATATTCTTGCAGTGATCTTTGACCGTCAAAACTCCAAAGCCGGCGAAACCACGAGCTTTTGTTGTGTTGTTCTTCTGCCTGGACTAGATACTCCGCCTCTAGCTGCTCCATCGTCCGGGACAAGAAAAGTTGCTGGAACACTGAGTGCACCAAAGGACTTACTACCACCGTGTCCACCCCTGGTTAGAAATAAATCAAATAACTAGTTGTATAGACCACTTTCATAAATGGCTGCCGGATTAATATTCTTTTGTTTAATATTAAATTAGCCTTTCTGGCCTCGTTCTCTAGTACAAAATTCAAAAGAATACATTATCTCAAGCGAGGCCAGAAAGGCTAATTTAAATCTAAACAAAAGAATATTAATCCGGCAGCCATTTTTGAAAGTGGTCAATAATTGGCCATTTTACGGTTGTGTACTTAGTTGCCACGCCTTTGATTAGGAGTGAGGTTGAAGGTGACCTTGTTTTGATAGAGACCAGTATCTGGTTAGAATGATAAAGTAATCTATATTTGAAAAGCATCAACCTTTGTAACACAACAAGGTCACCCTTAGCCTCTCTCCTGTTCAAAGGCTTGGCAACCAAGTAAGCAACTATAAAATGGACTATTAACTGAAAGAATCCACATTCAAATAAGATCCTAATTTCCATTGCCTATCCCCTCGAAGGTGTATCAAATTACAAAGCAAATTTACATAATGATCACTCCTAAGAGTCATAAGGTTGAGAACTCTCTTAACCACTTATCAAACTCATTCCCAGGGCCTCTCATCTTCCCACCCCCTGGAGCAGAAAGACGAGACCCTGGGAACAAGGATGGCCACTTCTTAGTACCTAATCAAAGTGTAAGATAGAGTGTTCTATCTTATTTTAAGCACAACAGGTAAAATAAATTTTTAAACTGGTTGACCAATGCTTCTCCTTACTGAATTTTCAAAAAAGTCCAGGAAATTTTTAGGCAGTTATAAGAGTCACCAATACTAAGGACAGTAAATTTTATTGTTTACTGCCTGAAAAGGAGAACAATTAAGTTATGTAACAATAAAAATTGCAATAGTAGGTCATTTTACTGTAGAAAGGTGACATTTGTTACTTTTAACTCTAAATAAGCCAACAAACAAAAAAAAAAACACTTTTCTCACCCATGGGCTCCATTCTCCTAACAGAAACTAATGGACAAGCTTTTAACATCTCCACAACTCCATCCAACATTTGTGGCATATCAGGCACCTCAGGGTTAAGCATGGCTTTGATAGCATTAATGTTATCTTTCACTGCTGTTAAAAAGTTCTCCAAGTTCTTGGCCAGTTTCTTGATTGATAGGAACATCTCTTCTACCTCTTGTTCTGAGCTATTCTCCTTTTTAACCTCAGTGGGTTTTTGGCTTGGCAGAGCAGGTCCACTGCCTACCACAGGGGGCAGGTTAAAATCTGGCGACCTTAGATGTAGAGCAATCAGGGTAACTGGTATTGGCCAATTGGGTGTACAGGTTCCAAGAAAATCAAATGCGTGTAGAAGATGGAAATTTTCTTGCACAAGGTTTTTAGTTTCCATGCTAACCATGACATATAAGGGGCTTAATTCTGTCTCCCCATTAGCCTTTGTGAAGTTCTGCAGCTCTGATTTAAACTCACTTAAAAAGTCTAAACTGGAATAGCTGGGATTTTTAAAAGCTTTTGATTGCATGTAATGACCGGCACATGAGAGAGCCAGAGGAATCCTCTTTAGAATTGTCACAATGTCTTTTGCAACAGTCATCTTGTTTCCTTCCAATCCACTTAACTGTGAAAGAAGTTCTACCCCATCATCCATAAGCAACCTAAAAGAAAAGAAAAGAGATGAAATGTTTTAAACAGAATGACCACATTACCTTATTTACCAATGGAGTGATACCAGTAGTGATTAAATTACAAACAGTGACAAATGTAGAGTCTGATTTGATTGTGACCAAAAATGGCTTGGGAACTTACAAGTTAATAAAAAAAAACCCAGTTTTGGAAATTTTAAGTACCCTTGTCTGTCTTGCAGCGCTGCTCGTTGCCAAAGTATATTCTGCAGAAAAGTACTTAGAGAAACCATTTAGATTTAAATGTATTTAGTTTTCCTGCAGTTTCTTACCCTTCATCAACAATGTAAGTATTACTAATCATTACATCTCTGTTCACATGGCCATTTCTTGTGACAAGAACTGTTCCATTACCCCAACTTTTTGATGAATCAGTGGAAAACCAGCGGTGAATAACTTCATCATCTTTAACATTTTCCAAAATTATAATCCAGCCTTGGCTGTCCTTAAGTTTTTCCCTAACAGCATCAACAAAGCAGTCTAGCTGCTCTTCCTTGGACAGACTGGAGAAATTCACCCCTTCACCAGCCTTCAGTGTCCAATCACTCTCCAAACATCCAACAGAAATTGCAAACCTTTTAACATCAAAAAGAAGGCTTTCTTCCGATGAACCATTCAAAGTTCCAAAGAAAAGATTTCCTGGAAGAAACGTGTACTTTTCTTGTTCCTCTCTGGCGAGTTTCTCAGCAAATTTTCGTGCAAGTTCTGTTCTACCAGACCCTGGACAGCCAACAATATGAAGGACAGTCAACGATCCTTTTCCCTTCAACTGACTATGAAGGGAAGACAGAGCGGAGAGATCTCGTTCACGGGGAAGTACGAAATGACTAGGTGTTGATGGCAAATGTTTTACTAGCAGTCGTTTCTTTTCGTGATTTCTGTAGACATAGTAATAAACAGTGCCAGAGATTCCCAGTGAGCCAAGAACCCAGTATTTCAGGGTTGGATTTTCTTTCCAGGATTTCGGCTCTTCGTCGCTGTCTTTAGAATCTTCCTTTCTTTCTGCTTCAGACAAAGTACTAGACAATCGACGTGGCTGCATCCTTATCGAAATTCGTCGCAAGTTTACCAGAGTTGTTCGTGTCCTGGAGAAATCAGTTACTAGGCGCAAACAGCGCGTAATTTGAAAGCTCAAAGTACGCCAGTACATCGTAAAAATACCCTTCGATTGACTTGAATAACACCCGTGGGAAATTTTCCGCAATTTTCTATGATATTACTTCTAAGTGTTCCTCAAAACCGGAGGTATTAAAGCCACAACCACACAACAATTTTAACTTGAAGGTGGCCGCCATATTTGTTTCGCACGTGTTCAGTCCCCACTTACCCCACACCCGTTGCAATCTTTGCTTCTCGTAATCGTGGGATCACTCCGTAGGTGTTATCGAAAAACTGTGTACATTTCCTTCTTTTTTAGTTTTGATCATCAAGAAAACTGTAGCATCTTCATTATCGAAAAAGACTGGAGAATACTAGAGGGTCTAGAGGCCGTTTCACAGGATCTATGAAACGGGTTGCCTTCCATTTCATCCTTATTTCTACACCCACCATGCCACCCCTCGCCCCCCATACATATGGATACACCCGTCCCAGTCTCCAGAGCGCTTGTCCCGTGGGAAGAAGAGTTCGGAAGGAAGACAGTAAAGATGAAAATGAAGATTATAATTGACTGTGACGGTGGTATCGATGATGCCCAAGCTATCATGATAGCACTATCTCAAGAGATTGACGTCTTAGCCATCACTTGTACCTGTGGCAACGCAAACGTTGATCAGGTTACCAAAAATGTGTTTAAGATCCTCGAGACCTGCGAGCGAACAGGCATACCAGTGTACAAAGGGGCACACAGATCCATACTGGGTACAGTTAATTCAGATACTAACTTAATTCCCTGATTTATTTTGAACGTATACGTATAAGGGTTATACATGTAGTGTAATTCAAGGAAAGAAAAAATATCCGATCGTGAAGAACACTGCAACCGCGTGGAGCTGCAATTAGAGAAGAGGTAATTCAAAACTCAAATGGAATGGACCACCTCAACGTGGACACGGTTTTCCAAATTTTTCAATCAAACTAAATGAAAAAAATCAACGTCATGGCACAGTGCGATCAGTCAGGTTCAGTTTGGTAAACATTAAGACAATTTTTCGTGGAAATCCTTTGAAAACTCATGGAATAATGAGACGTACTCCAAATTTTCCAATTCTTACAGAGAATTGTAAATCTCTATTTTCCAGCCTGGGACTCAAACTGCAAGCCCTTCCCAACAAAGTGGTGCTCCCATAATTTCACGAGATTGCAACGGGAATGGAACCTTTAAAGATACTTTTTATGATTGCTTTTAATTTTTCTTATCATCATTTCATTTTAATTCGAACTTAGTTGACGTGACTAATTGAGTGAGGTGCTCTTTTGTTTTAATATACAACACCACTTGCATGTTTCCAATTTATCCAGATTCGTTGTCCATAAACAATGCATGGACAACTTTTAGTCCGAGTGACTTAAGTTTCATTCCCTGTCTAGATGTAGCTTGCATGGACAGAATGGGAAGGGAAAGTTTCTGTGAAAGCAAAGAGCAATTAATTATCCTACCTCATCCCTACATTAACTTCCCCTCCACCTCAGTTTTGATGCTTGGTTAGTCTAGATCACGTCAATTCACATGGGGGAGGGGGGGTTTGAAGCTTTGAAGTGATTGACACATTAGCACAATATGTATTCTATTTCAATTATAGTTTAAGGGTCAAAACAATTTTTGTATATCTGTAACTGACTCCCTTGTGTTCAGAAAGTTCACTACCACTTTGAGATGTGCACTTTAAAAAAACTTGTTCTTTTTGTTCACTACAAAAATAAGAGTTGTAACATTTCCTTAATTTATTTGGACGTATGTGTTTCAACATTAGGAATTGCCTATGAGCAACCATTATACCATGGTTCTGATGGCCTTGGAGATGCCACTGATATTAAAGAACCAGATATGAGTCTTCTTCAACAAACCCATGCCACTCAGGCCCTAGTCCAACTTGTAAATGAGAACCCTGGCGAAATTGTTATCGTTGCTCTTGGCCCACTGACCAACATTGCTTTAGCTTCTAACTTTGATGCTGAATTTACAACAAAGGTCAAAGAGGTATTTGTACTAGGAGGATGCATTCATGGCAAAGGAAATCACTGGGTTTCAGCAGAATTCAACTTTGGTGCTGATCCTGAAGCGGCACACATACTGCTTAATCAGTTTAAATGTCCAATTTCCCTGGTATCATGGGAGACCTGTTTAGAGCACCCTTTGGATTGGGAGTTTTTCGAGCGCTATGTGGGAACTGGTACCAAACGAGCAGAATTCATGAGAAAAATTTCAACAAAGATAAAAGAATATGAAGAGGAACTAGATGGTAAATTTATAACTTGCGATCCATTTGCACTGTGTGCAGCTTTACTACCAAAGTTTGTTCAGGAAGAAACCTCAGTTCATGCCACAGTTGAACTCAAGGAGGGATTGACTCGAGGACAGATGGTGGTTGATTGGCGTCGAATGCTACAAAAACCTGTCAATGTACGACTAATTACAAAGATGGATTTAGAACTTCTTAAGGAAATGATGCTTAACTCTGTTAAATAATAGATGCAAGACCTCTCTGTGGAAACCAGTGCAGTCATAATTCTTGGTGATAAAAGAGATGGGATTAGGTTTCTGGTGTTCATGAGAGCTATTTCCAGAGCAAGTTTCAATATTTTTGCAGGAGATAATGCAGCTTATTCACTCATATTTCTCTACTTTTCTGATATATGAAACAATAACATTTAGTTTTTTATCACATAACCATTTTGATCTTACTGTATTTCTCTGAAATAAGATTATTCCAGGATATTTTTCAAAGCATTTGTGTCATAAACATATTAGTATGAGCCATAGTCACTTATCAGGTTAAACTCCCAACTTATCAGGTTTTAACTCCCAAGATCTAATTGTTAATTCTCTCCTCTAGCTGCTACACATTTCCTTGTGAATTAGTTACGAGAATTTGGGGTTAGATCAAGGTAATAACTTTAACCTGATAAGTCTGAGTATTCTCATTACCTGTTTACTAGATAATGTAAGGACATCATAGGAGAATTTTCATGTTAATCACTTCTGGGAGTTAAAGGGTTTAGGAAAGGCAGCTTAAGCAACTCTACGCCTAATAAAATTCTAAGTAATTGAAAAGGCTCATCCACACAGTTTCCAATTCTCTTAGTTCAGTTACAAAAGCATTTTCCAATATATTGCTTGGATTTACAAGTAGTATATATTTCACATCACTTTACACTTGGAGGCAAGCTTGGATTGCGGGGCTCTTTGCTCAAATTCTTCTAGTGCTTGTAAATAAGACAGAGGAGGCCATCGATGTTCAGTTACATGTTTCCTGTTATCTCCTTGAAGAAGTTCAAACTCTTCAGTTGATTCAAACACTGAGAAGTTAGTAGAAATGAAATGAAGACACCAGTCAGCCAACTGTTTAGCATTGTAAGCCTGACAAATAAAAAAAAATTTATGTTAGCTACAGTGCAAATACCAATAATTTAATTTAAACACTTTCACCAGAGTGTGGTGAGGGTCGCACAACAGAGTGAGGCTCCAAATTAAGTGCGCCCAATATCCCACCCATCCCACCCCAGAGGAGGACGTCCATCACACAGTAATCTTGTGCATGGGAAATTAACGTCTCCTACCCCCAACCCTGCAGGAGACAGGACCTCCATTTATTCGTCCCTATCCAAGAAGACTAGAATATCTAACCATTTCTTGATGTTATAGAAAGGTAGCAAATTCTTCTCAATTATTTTAAGACCCTGAGTGTTGATCCGGCCGGG